GAGAGAGAGAGAGAGAGAGAGAGAGAGAGAGAGAGAGAGAGAGAGAGGTTTTGTTACTGCTAAACTCAATTCAATGTCAGAATAACATGCAATAAAACACTGGATGATACCTGAAAGAAGCTTTGGTAGAGATGAAGGAGAGAAATTGGGGGAAATACCAGAATCAACTAGTTCCTTGTGAGCTGTCTCACAGAATACGGATAAAATGACGTGCAGTCAGTTAAGGCTAGATTGTTTATTGGCTGACAGATTCCCCACTTTGTTGGTCTTTCTAAATCACAAAAAAAGACACTATGCACACGCTATCTTTTAAAACATCCAAACACACATACAGATTTACCTGCTAACAGCATTGATTCAGCACTTGATTTTATTTGCCAATTAGGCGCGATGATTGAGGTCCTTGTCAAATGCTGATAATGGCCATGTTAATATATCGGCAACTTCCAGACCTCTATCTATTGACCATGTTAATATATTGGCCACTTCCAGACCTCTATCTATTGGCCATGCTAATATATCGGCAACTTCCAGACCTCTATCTATTGACCATGTTAATATATCGGCCACTTCCAGACCTCTATCTATTGACCATGTTAATATATCGGCCACTTCCAGACCTCTATCTTTTGGCCATGTTAATATATCGGCAACTTCCAGACCTCTATCTATTGGCCATGTTAATAGATAGAGCCTTACAAGCGTTGTTCTCCCTTTTTAGCAGATTAGATAACCATCCTGGGAGTGTGAACGTAATAATACTGAAAATACTATCCCATGTTTGGAAGCTTCCTTCTTTTCCTGTCTTGATTTTTCTGTGTCAGCATTAAGGAACGGCCCTTTTCAATCACCATCCACACCAAACCAACCCACACAGACTACACTTCTTGTGAGTGAACTGCATGGCCGTTATTAGACCTGATCGAATTTTGGCCATCTGATGGGGCCCGATGAGGAGAATTCCTCCTCATAATCAGATGATGGACGGCAGAAGGCAGATTCAGGCAGCCAGTGGCCATTTCATTACCCAATCTCTCTGTTGCCCTGGCTGGATATTGAGTGGTGGAAGCGATGCAGAGGTGGAGGCGGAGTGGAATCAGGGGAGGCTGGGTGGATAGAAGCAAATGAGGGGAGAGGGAAGAGAATAAGAGCAAGCAGAAGAAAGAGTGAATAGAGAAGAAATAGAAAGGGGGCCTCCCTCTGGTCGGCAGAATGCTGTATTGATTGTGGGGAACTTCCAGGGCCCTCCAGATCCTTACAAAAGAAATTTATTTATAGCCTCAAAGTTATTCATTGTAAAATCTAAATGCCAAACGTCATCATCCAAACACCATTGGAATTTGGTCTCGATTAGGAAAATTAGGGAATAGGGAGTTTTTTCCCCACAATACCAATCCGGAGATTGGCTTGGTGCATCCCTAACAGAAGACAAGGCCAGGGTCCCATCCAATTGAGGAGTTAAAGGTAAAATATGTCAGGGTCCCTGGAGTGACATTCAAATGAACAAATCATCTTTTAAGCATGGAAGTTTATTTTAGATATTGTAGTGTTTCAATAAAATAATCAGTGATTGCCTTCTACCACTTGTTTTTACATGACCAAAGACAACTGAACAAACTCCATAACAACTGAGGCAACAAATCCATGAAGACCATGAGTTGTGGTAGAAAGGTACACAAACAGCTAGTGGACCTTGAGTTGTGATTATATGACAAATATTCTTTTACCACTAAGAGTATTATCAATCGGCACTGAGGATTTCTGCCAGCTTGAATCTCCAGAGGGAAGCTAACAATGGTAGCGTCTGTTGCTACTGACAAAAGTGAGGAAATTGTTGCTAGTTAGCTGCTAACACTTTTATAGTAACAAGGTACAAGCCTCTGTACACTGTGTTAACTGCGACTCCCAAGTTGCATTCTGGTACATACAGTCACCAAGCTTAAAATATTGCTGCATAAGCCACTAAAGGCCTCAGTAATCTTTGAACATAGTGCTTGTCAATTTGTCTTACAGCGTCTGGAAACCCGTTACTGCCTTCAGATGTGGCCACTTGGAAGCTGTTTTTTGTCTTAAGATGTGGTTGGACGACATGACGACATTGTTATGATATATTATATTTATTATTTTATTTAAAATTTGCTACAGCTCTGACTTGCGCCCCTGACTAGCCTCCTCTTTAAAGACAGCTGAGACTATTGGGTGTCGTAGTATTTAAAGCTTCCGCCACACAACATAACATAATGTGCTTACTCTACTTCTCTCTTGATTTATTACATCAGTAAACATTGTAAACATGAGTTTATGGTCTCAATCTCTAGTTTTAAGTCTTCTTCAATACAGCATGATGTCCATTTAGTAAATTATGGTCCATGTAGAGTCAAACAGACCATAAAGCAGGGGATGCTTTAGGGCGGGACTACCTTGCGATTGACAGGTTGGTACCACAGCATTTTTCAGCAAGTTTTTAGTCGAACTAAAAGACACTCTGGGAGTCAGCTGTTCATTTATTCTGGTAAGCCTACATTTTGTTTTAAGGATGTTTCTCATTTTACAAAATTAACATTCCAATCAATATCACAGCTAACGTGAATTAAGAATGCACCTTGCAAACCAAGCTAGCTAGCTAGCATTAGCTGATGGCCCCGCTGAGCCATGCACCTTACCAGCACCACCCTCTCATCCAAATATGGTCACTTCTGGCTCCAAAAAAGACCCCAAGATGGAAATGGACAAAGTGCCAAACTCCAGGGTTGGAAGCGGTAGTCCACATACCAAAAGGTGATGTCACAGTGGCTATGTCCACCTCTATTATACAGTCTATGCTTAGAAACAAAGTTTATATAATTTAAACTGATAACAAACAAACCTGTAGCTTTTACCTACAGGAATGAAACAAACAGTCCTGACGGATGTCTCTAACATACTTCATAGAAGATAGGCGAATAAAGGTCTTAGCACAATGGTTAAGGTCTGTCAATGGTTTTCAATATAAAGGTGATTTAAAATAGCTTTAAAACAGTAGATATCGCCACAGCAATATCACAGAGAGATGATTAACCTCCCGTCTGATGTGAGAGGTTAATCAACTTACTCCCCCTGCTTCTCTTGCACTTTTCTCAGTTTCTGTACTGTAAATGATCCACCATGAGGATAATCCATAAAAGCAAAAGAGGCATGACTGTCATGGGTGGATGAGTAGATCTAGACGAGACAGAGGACGAGGTGGGAGTCAGAGGAGGAGGAAGAGGAGGAGTGGGTTTGAAGGGCAAGGAGAGGTGAAGGAAATAAAATGAAAGGAGGGGCTGATGTGAGATGCTGCTGGTCTTTCTGGAGAAAACACAAACACACACACACACACACACACACCACACACCAAAGCTTGGATGATCTGTGTGGATGACGAAGAGAGAGGAGGGAAATGAGGAAGAGGAGCGAGCGCATGCGCGAAAGTGGCGTGCTTTGGCAGGGTGATGGATTGCCTGTTCTGTGCCACGCATTTTCTAATCAACCCACAGCCACATCCTGGGGGTGGAGAGAGAGAGAGAGAGAGAGAGAGAGAGAGAGAGAGAGAGAGAGAGACACAGAGACAGAGACAGAGAAAAACAAAGAAAAGCTGTCTGACAAAGGAAGACAAAGGAAGAAGAGAAATAGATAAAGGGAATGCAGTCCATAGGAGCAGAGTGGAGTGGCTGGAGGGTTTGTGGTATAGGAACTGCTGCTGCTGCTAAACACACTCACACACGGCATTACACAACACAACACACTGCAAATAACACCGCCCTGTAAACCACACAAAGCCAACCAACCAACGCAACATCACACACTGTATCGCAGCGTTACACTGCAGTGGAATGTCACAAAACCCTGCACAACACACACAACACAGCGAGGCCAAAACTAATAAAGCCTGTAATTATTTGAGATTTTAAAAAATTCAAAAAAATTCAATATTGGCTGATATTCTCTGAATACAACCAAACATGTTTAATGAGGATCTCTTAAGTATTACTTGTTATACACTTTATACAACTTTTTGTTGTTTTAATTAACTTTTTCTATTATAGTTAATCAACTATAATAGAAAAAGTTAATAAAATCACTCATATTGCTTTTCTATTTTGCACTGGTCAATATTACTTATTTTACACTTACTCTATGGTTACTCTATGGTTCATATATGTTTATATTTTTATTCTATTGCTTTTTTGTTATTCTTCTGTTGTAAAATGATCGCACAAGAATTTCCTTCTGGATAAATAAAGTTCTATCTTATCTTAAAGGAAGAAATTGCCACCTGTTATGTATCCACATCAGTGTGGATGATAATAAATTCCTCAGTGCTTCCTCAGATCTGCTGTTCTTCCTGCATTCAGCGCTGTCGTTTGACGTGACAGTGACGAAGTCAGATGCGAGAAAGAACTACAGGCTGCTGTCTCGGTACAAAAAAGAACTGTACTGTTGTGTAGTAACTCCAGAATCAGATAACCAAGTACTCCAAATGTATTGAAAAGATATAGTCGTTATAATTTCCAAAACATGCTTTATTCTAACGAAATGTCCTCAACGGAAAGGATAGCGAGCGGACTATGAGAAGATATTCGCTGAATTTGACCAAAACGTATTTTAAGCCTTTGAATCAGCCTTTAAGACCTTTAAATAATATTAAAACTAATTTAAATGACGGGTAAAAAAACAAAACATCAAACACATCTTTAGTATTTCTTTTTTCGTAGTATTTATCGGCCGATTACAATAATACTTGTAAAATAAACAAATTAATAAGCTAGACGGAGTAAAATAATGTTAATGATGTCAACCAGTCTCGGTTCAATCTAAGCAAAGTATCACAAAACACAATGCAACATAAGAACATGATTCAACACATAAGAGGCTGAAGTCCTGGCATCACTTTCACTAGCTCCTGTAACTCGGTTAATA